TCGTTTCAGCTGCTCATTCTATTTGCTCCTGGACCAGACTTGGGATGTGTCAACCTATTCCGCCACCATCTTGTCTCCCTCCTGCCAGCTTTTTTATCCACTCATCTACTGATGGGCACTTGGGCTGTTTCCAGATTTTAGCTATTGTAAATTGTGTTGCTATGAATATAGGAGTGCAATCATTCTTTCTGATTGGTGTTTGTTTCTTAGGATATATTCCTAGAAGTGGGATTACTGGGTAAATGGATTCTCCATTTAAAATTTTTTAGGAAACTCCATACTGTTTTCCATAATGGCTGCACCAGTCTGCATTCCCATCAGCAGTGCACTAGGGATCCCTTTTCTCCACATCCTCTCCAGCACTTTTTGTTTGTTGATTTTTTGATAGTAGCCATTCCGACAAGTGTTAGGTGATACCTCTTTATCCTTTTAATTTGCCTCTCTCTGTGATCAGTGACTTTGAGCATTTTTTTCATATGTCTCTTCATCATCTGTATGTCTACTTTGAATAAGTTTCTATTTAGGTCCTTTGCCCATTTTTTAATTGGATTGTTTGTCTTACTTTATGTTGGGGTCCAACCCCAGCAGGTCCAGGGGTTCCCAAAGGTGGACGGAGTCGGCGAAGAAAAAATGACACGGAGACAGCGTTCAGTTGATCAGCAGCTTAACCAGGGTCTCCAGCCAGGTTCTGTCCAGGTTCTCTTGCCATGCTCTCTCACTAGGTTCTCCAGCCAGGTTCTGTGTCCAGGTTTGCCAGCCAGGTTTGGTCACCAGGTTCTAGTCTAGTTAAGGGGGTTTATTCCCTCCCTATCTTCAGGGAAAAATCCTACCTGGGGAAACAACCTTTCTCAGAGAGGTAACCCTGGTTAAAACACATAGCGCCAAGAAGGTGAGCAAAAGTATTAAGAACAGTATGTCATATATGCCAGGTCCCTTGAAACATATGCTGTGCAGATGTTTCTTCTCTGCAGCTGAAAGGGCCAGGGCTACGCCCTCCATCTTGCCCCAGGGCAAGGGCTACGCCCTCCATCTTACCCTGGATCCTCGCATTTTGGGGCAGCCATGTGCTCAGCAAGGAGCTTCTTCCCAGAAGCCCAAGCCTCTGCTAGCCACACCCAGGATTTCTTTAAACTAACCAATGACAATCAAGGAAAGTGCGCGCCATATATATGACCACATCCTGTGTAACGACACCAACTTGCGCCCGGCCAATCGGCAGGGCCCACAGTCCTCTCTCCTCCCCCTATAAAACCCCTCTTCACACAGGGCTAGCTCTCTCTCTGCTGCTTGCTGCTGCATCAATGAGTGTGGTCAGGGAGCCGAGCTAGCTCGAATAAAGACTCTTTGCTTTTGCATCGGACTCTGCTGGCTCCCTGGTGGTCTTTTGGGGATCTTGAAATCTGGGCATAACACAGCAACCTTGTCAAGCAGCAAGGATGGACAGGCTTCTGACACCTTTTTTTGAAGTTGTATGAGTTCCTTACATATTTTGGAGATTAAACCTTTATCCTATGTATCATTGCCAAATATGTTCCCCCATACAGTGGGCTCACTTTTAATTTTGTTGATAGTTTCTTTTGCTGTACAGAGGCTTTTTATGTTGATGTAGTCCCATTTGCTTATTTTCTCCTTAGTTTCCTTTGCCCTAGGAGATGTATCTGTAAACATATTGTTATGAGAGATGTCTGAGATTTTTCTGCCTATGGTATTTTCTAGGATTTTTGTGGTTTCCTGTCTTATATTAAAGTCTTTTATCCATTTTGAGCTTTTTTTATGTATGGAGTAAGTTGGTGGTCTAGTTTCAATTTTTGCATATACCTGCCCAATTTTTCCAACACCACTTATTAGAGAGTTTCTTTAATCCATTGTATGCTCTTGCCTCCTTTGTAAAATATTGAATTTAATGGCTTGGCTTGATTTCTGGGTTCTCTGTTCTATTCCATTGATCTATATGCCTGTTCTTTTGACAGTACCAGGCTGTTTTGAGCCCAATGGCTTTGTAGTATAACTTAATACTGGGTATTGTGATCCCTCCAACTTTGTTCTTCTTTCTCAAGATTGTTGCAGCTATTTAGGGTCTTTTTTGGTTCTATATAAATTTTTGGAGAGTTTGACCTAGATCTGTGAAATATGCTGTTGGTATTTTAATAGGGATTAGAATAAATCTATAGACTGCTTTGGGTAGTATGGACATTTTAATGATGTTTATTCTACCAACCCATGAACATGGTATATTCTTCTACTTGTTTATTTTTCCTCTATGTCTTTTTTCAACATCCTGTAGTTTTCTGAGTACAAGTCTTTTACTTCCTTGGTTAAGTTTATTCCTAAGTATCTTAATTTTTTTCATTGCAAAGATAAATGGGGTTATTTTTTAAATTTCTCTTTTTGAGAATTCATTATTGGTTTATAAAAATACCATTGATTTCTCGGTGTTAATTTTGTATGCTACTACATTGCCAAAATAATTTATTAAATCTAGTAGTATTTTAGTGTAGTCTTTAGGGGTTTCTATGTAAATATCATGTCATCTGAGAATTGGCAGCATTCCTAATGTGTTTGATGAGTCTCCTTGAATTTTTTGTGTGTTCTTCTAAAACTTATGCAAGCATTCTGTTTGCATATATTTTAATTTATGTAAATGAAATTGAGTTATAAACTTTATAAACGCAGTGTTATGTTTTGAAGATTCTGCTATGCATACATCTAGTCCAGTCTTTCTAATTGGTTGTCCTGGTTGCCTTCTACTCCTGCCACTACAAACAACAATGTCAAGAATTTACTTATAAATCCATAAAATAATTTACTTATAAATGTGTTTATACTCAGGAACACATTTTTAATTTGGCTATTGCTATGGTTTGAATGTTTGTTTTCCCCTCCAAATTCATATTTTGAAACCCTAACCCCAAAGGTGATGATATTAGTAAGTGGGCTATTTAGGAGATACTTTAAGTGATGAATGGAAATCATGAATGGAATTAGTGCTCTGATATTCAAGGCTGCAGAGAGATCCCTAGCCATTTCCACCATGTGAAGGAACAACAAAAAGGCACAGGCTATTAAAGAATAGTAATTCCTCCTTTGGAAAACTGTTGTTTGAAACTGCTGTTTGAACTACTCTGTTAATCTTAGTCTCTTATTCTGTAGGTCAACTCTGTTATTTATAGACTGTAAAATAACTTTGTTTTTTGCTTGAATAGAAAAGATAAAGTTAATTGTCTGACCTTGCAAGCTAGCCATCTAACTGATACGCTGATATTGATAGCAGATGTCTGTATAGATATGATACGATACTCAAGGTTACAGGTGTCTGTGTAGATATGATATGGTACTCAAAGTTACAAGTTGTCTGTATAGATATGACAGGTGTTTGATTAGATATGATATGTACTCAAGATTACAAGCTGTCTTACACAAAGAACTAGAAGGATATAAAAAGGAAATAATCCTTCCTGTGTTTGTTCAGAATTTGATAGAGGTAATCTTCTCTGAACCTGCGTGCAATAAAGATGACTCCTAACTAATTGGCTCATTAGGTGTCTTGTCCAGCTCGCTGATTTGCGATACATTATGAACCAGGAAGGGAGCCATCACCACCACATGGCCATGCTGGTGCCTTCATCTCAGACTTCCCAGCCTTCAGAATCAGAAGAAACAATTTTCTGTTATTTATAAATGCCCTAGTTGTGGTACTGCTATTGCCAGACTGCTCCCCAGAATGGCCCTCCCTCCAGCAGTGCATTTGGGTTGCTATATATCACATCCCTGGAAACTCATCATTATCCAGCTTCCTAAGTCTTTCACCAGTCTAACCCTTATAAAGTAATACCTTAGGCCAAAGTTCATAATAAAGTAACATAAGTTGAAAAAAATGATTCCCCTTTAAATTTTATGACTGAAAAAATATTTTAAATATTTTAAAGAAAATAATATTAAAAATATTTTAAAGAATAAAAAATAATATTAAAATATTTTTAAAGGAAACATTTCAAATAGGAATTATGCTAAATTGAGATTATAGCTTGTTTCTCTTGATGAATAATTTCCTAACAATAAATGTGCATTATTTTTGGTGAAAGCAAAGTTCTACATGGTGGTATGTGTAGTAAATTTTAAATTATCATAGCTACACTAAAAACTGTTAATCAACTCAACAGAATACCATATAGCTATAATTATTTATTCTGTGTCAGTACCTGGAAATGTGTATAGTAAGTCATTAAAATCAAAGTTTCATAAGTAAATCTACATGAAAATATAAGGATATATAATGATAATGAACAGGAAAGGATAAAAATACATTGTTCCAATCTATAGGATTTTTTCATGAGTTTTGGGACACTAAAATTTTTAAATTAAAAAAAAAAACAAACAACACCAGAATAGTAAGTTAAAAATAAATGATTTTCATTAAAAATTGAAAATTCGCTCAGTGGATAGAGCGTCAGCCTGCGGACTGAAGGGTTACAGGTTTGATTCTGGTTAAGGGCACATGCCTGGGTTGTGAGCTCAATCTCCAGTAGGAGGTGTGCAGGAGAGATTCTCTCTCATCACTGATGTTTCTATCTCCCACGCTCCCTCTCCCTTCTTCTCTGAAATCAATAAAAATATATATATTTTTTTAAAGTTGAAGAAATAGCCCTAGCCAGTTTGGCTCAGTGGAAAGAGCATGAGCCCGCGGACTGAAGGGTCCTGGGTTTGATTCAAATCAAGGGCACATACCCGGGTTGCAGACTTGATCCCTAGCCCCAGTCAGGGCATGTGCAGGAGGCAACCAGTCAATGTGTCTCTCTCACATGGATGTTTCTCTTTCTCTCTTTCTCCCCGCTCCACCCTCCTCCCCTCCCTCTCTAAAAATCAATGGAAAAATATCCTCCAGTGAAGATTAACAAAAAAAAAGAAAAGAAAAAAAGTTGAGAAAATATATGTACAAATAGGGATTGTTCTTACTGTAAAACTAGGATTATTCAAGTAAGTGTGGTTGACGATCTGCTCACCAGGACTCCCCCCGTTTGCTTGTTCACTTCTGGGTCCTATCGAAGGAGACTTTGGAAAGAGAGTATCTGTTTCCCAGCTTCCAGGTCGGAAAAACCCCACATACTTGTTCCTCTGAGAACTACTAAAACGCAAATAATATTTTACCTACAAGGAGCAAATAGAAACAAACAATATCGATAAAAGCATAATGAAGCAGGAAGGAGAAACAAAAGGAAGTTAAAGTGCAGTTGGGAGAATGTGGCTGCAAGGCAGCCTCAGAGGCCATGGCAGCGGGTGTGGAAGTCAGGAGGGGAGCGCAATCTGGCTGCAAGGCTACTGGGGGCTGTGGATGGATCTGTCCCAAATACACAGCTGCTTGCACACTAACAGGAAATATACCGAAAGGTTTTATTATTTGCTCTTCCCATTGTGCCAGATAAGCATCCTGTGAGGAAAACCTTCCTCTCCTAGAAGTGACTGCTAACATCAGAATCCTGCCTGAGGACACAAGAGTGTATTCAAATGTGGATGCAGGTGCTGCATTTTAATTGCTGAATGAAAGATAGTACTCATTTAGGAGAACTGCATACACTTCCATGTAGGGCACGGTGCAATAGTTGAGCAGCAGGGTCAAGAGAGAGGCATCGGTAGGATCAGGAGGGGCAAGCAGAAGTCAGAAGTCAAGGTAAATATTCATACTTTCAGTTATCGCGACAGAAGTTTTAGGCACTTGTTACATATTGGAGGATTAAGGCAGAGACCCTGTTACTCAAGGAGCTCAAATTCTAGTAGAGGAAGATTATGTATATCTGTGCTGTAGTAAAATCAGTGATAGAGATATGTATAGGAAATGTATGGAAGTACGAAGGAGGAAAGGAGTGGGTGTGGTTGGAAGAGGCAGGGTCCAGTGAGTCACAGTGGCAACCTAAGGGTAAGTCGGAGTAATCAGCCAAGTGAGAGGAGCAGGGTCAGGGAGGTACCCAAGGCATAAGGGGAAGTTTGAAACTGCACCGAGACACGGAGCAGGTTCTATGCAAGCTGCTAAGCCCCCACCAGTATCAGCTTGCATGGAGTCAGGCACGAGGAAAGCTGCCGTTATGAAGAGATGAGGGGGTGGAAGGACAGAATGAAAAGCTTCCCACAACCTACTTATACCCGGGGGCTTTTCTTACTTTCATTCCATTGTCAACCATGTGTGTCTTAAATGCACAATTATGGTTCCATGAACACTTTATTTCTCTAAACACCAGAGACACCAAACTCAAAGCACTGTCCTTGCCTCTCCTCCTGGGGGACTAGCACCAGAATCCTCTTCAGTGTCTACACATGTCCTGATTCTAAGTTAGCCTGGCTAAGCCTTAGCACTGTTTTCCAGGTTCAGAATTAGAAATGATGAGATTCATTCAAAAGAAAGAGGAACGTTTCCTGCTTGTGTTCTATGCTCCTGCACCTGCTCTGTCACCTGGTACCCTGCCCAGGAAATGTGCAGGGCTCACTGCTACCTGCAGAGCTGGAGGCTGCTGCCAAGCCAGATACAACGGCAAAAGGGGCACCTCAGTGGTCATTGTTGCCAATGACTGACTTATAAGCAGAAGGCCTGATAGGCAGTGAGTTCACCTCTTTCCCCAGCAACATAAAGCCCTGGTGCATGAAGGCAGAGATGCTGACGTGAATAGATTTGGGTTTACATCCCTACTCTGCTATGTATAAGCAGCATGATCTTGAGTAAATTGCGGTCTCCCCGATTATAAAATACTTCCCCCTCATTAAGTCCCTGGAAACTGGAAGTATAGCCATGAAGTCTCTACACAAAACTTTCTTACCTTAAGTGGCAGAGGATCGTGGCTATTTTTGAACTCATGGTCAAAGACAAAAGCAACCACCACTCTCTCAGAGTTGTTCCCTTGCTTAACATACTCTTCAAAATCTCCTTCTGAAGGGAAGCCTTGAACTGTAAAGAGAGAAAACTCTAATGTGTGAGTTGATCACTGAAAGGCACAATATCTGACAATCCTTCCTATCTTTAAAATGGAAAACACTTTACATGGATGAAAGGCTATGAAAATATTATAAATTTCAAACCACTGTTGCTAAAACATTGGTATAATGAACTAATGCATATTTGGAGTGCATAAAATTTTTAGGAGTTGTAAAAGTTTTATCACAAGCTTAGAATAAAATTCCTCATTATAATAACTGCGCATTGAAGACACTCTAAGGAAGAGGGTGTTTCACATTGTGTTTTGAAATTTCCACCTTAAAGGAAAATATAAACAAAATTTATCTATTCTAAGTCCCATACCATTGTGATTTCTAATATATAAATAAAAAACAGTCAGAAATAGAGGAATAAAACCACTTTATAGTTTTAATATTTGAGACAATTATTTATTTTCTTTTTTATTAAATTTATTGAGGTAACACTAGTTAACAAAATCATACAGCTTTCAGGTGTATAATTCTACAACACATCATCTGTACACTGTATTGTGTGTTCACCACCCCAAGTCTCCGTCCATCACCATTTATCCTGCCTATGCCCTCCTCCGCCTCCCCAACCCCTCCTCCCCCTGGCAATCACCACATTGTTGTCCATGAGCTCTTTCTCTTTTTTGCCCAATTCCTCCACCCCCACCATCCAATCCCCACACTGACAGCCATCAGCTTGCTCTCTATGAGCCTGTCTCTATTTTGCTTGTTAGTTCAGTTTGTTCATTAGATTCCACATATGAGTGAGGTCATGTGGTACTTGTCTTTCTCTGTCACTTATTTCACTTAGCATAGTGCTCTCCAGGTGCATCCATGCTATTGCAAAGGGTAAGATTTCCTTCTTTTATACAGCCGAGGAGTACTCCATGATGTAAACGTCTCACAGCTTTTTTTATCCTCTCATCTTCTGATGGGCACTTGGGCTATTTACAGATCTTGGCTACTGTAAATAATGCTGCTTTGAACACAGGGGTACATATATTCTTTCTGATTGGTGTTTTGGGTTTCTTAGGATATATTCCCCAAAGTAGACTCACTGGATCATAAGGCAGTTCCATATTTAATTTTTTGAGGAAACTCCATACTGTTTTCTGCAGTGGCTGCACCAGCCTGCATTCCCACCACAGTGCACTAGGGTTCCTTTCTTCACGTCCTCACCAGCACTTATTTGTTGCTTTGTTGATGGTAGCCATTATGACAGGTGAGGTGATCTCTCATCATGCTTTTAAATTTGCATCTCTCGGATGATTAGTGACATTGAGTCTCTTTTCATATGTCTATTGGCCATTTGTATGCCCTCTTTGGAGAAATGTCTATTCAGGTCCTTTGCCCATTTCTTAATTAGTTTTCCTTGCGGCTCAGTTTTATAAGTTCTTTATACATTTTGGATATTAACCCCTTATCAGATGTACCAGTGACTTGTTTTCAGCTAGTCTTCAGCAAGTTGGTTATTCAGGCTGATTGCTGTATCATTTTATCGTAATTCCAGTTTGGTCCTGGGAGGAAGTGAGTGTGTTAT